GTGATTTATTCTTTTTTTTTTTAAAATATATTTTATTGATTTTTTTACAGAGAGGAAGGGAGAGAGCTAGAGAGCTAGAAACATCGATGAGAGAGAAACATCGATCAGCTGCTTCCTGCACACTCCCTATTGGGGATGTGCCCACAACCAAGGTACATGCCCTTGACCGGAATCGAACCCGGGACCCTTCAGTCCGCAGGCTGACGCTCTATCCACTGAGCCAAACTGGTTTCGGCATCACTGATGTTTCTATCTCTCTCTCCCTGCCTCTCTGAAATCAATATATTAAAAAAAAAACAACCCACACAGATAAAAGTGTGCAGTGAGAGGACCATTAAAGAAATAAACCGGGGAGCCCTGGCTGGGTGGCTCAGTTGGTTGGAGCATCAACCTGTACACCATAAGGTGTGCGTTCAGTTCCCAGTCAGGGTACATATCTAGGTTGCTGGTCTGATCCCCATTCGGGTGTGTGTGTGTGTGTGTGTGTGTCAGAGGCAACTGATCAATGTTTCTCACATCAATGATTCTCTCTCTCTTCCTTGCTGTCTAAAATCAGTAAAAATATATTCTCAGGTGAGGATTTAAAAAAGAAAGAAACCAGGAGAAAGTTATTTATTTTTATTATATTTTTATTAATTTTAGAGATAGAGAGGGGAGAGAGAGAGAGAGAGAGAAAGAAAGGAAAATTGATTTGTAGTTCCATTTATTCATTTATCCATTGGATGATTCTCGTATGTGCCCTGATCAGGAATAGAACTCACAACCTTGACATATTGGGATGATGCTCTAACCAATTGAGCTACCCGGCCAGGACCAGGGAAAACTTTTTAAACATTAAATAAATTATTAGTAACCTTCTTATATTTTTTGATTAAACTATACTTTTCAATTTAAACATCAATCATGAACAATTTTATAAGATGTTAGGTATAAATTATTGAAATATTTTAAAATTTGCTTCAGCTCTGTGAAGAGAAAAGTTTTCAATGTTCCCTGAAACTTTAGTTAATAAAATAAATAAGAAGTATTTGTCTTTATCTCTAATGGCTTCACAAAGGTCCTAAAAGTCGATTCTCAGTTGGCCTGAGCCTTCTGAGGCATATTTGATTCAGATAAAAATTATATTCCTTACAGTAACATGAAATCCTGGCCAGGCCGCCCAATCACATGGATTGTCTTTCTCTAATGACTGCTCCTTCCAGCCCTGACTAGAGTCTCTTCTAAAATGACTTGGTCTCTTTTTTCAAAAAAATATATTTTATTGATTTTTTACAGAGAGGAAGGGAGAGGGATAGAGAGTTAGAAACATCGATGAGAGAGAAACATCGATCAGCTGCCTCCTGCACACCTCCTACTGAGGATGTGCCCGCAACCAAGGTACATGCCCTTGAGCGGAATCGAACCTGGGACCCTTCAGTCCGTAGGCCGACGCTCTGTCCAATGAGCCAAACCGGTTAGGGCTAATTTCTTTTTTTAAAATATGTTTTTATTGATTTTAGAGAGAGAGATAGAAACATCAATGAAAGAGAATCAGTGATCAGCTGCCTCCTGCGTGTGCCTACTGGGTATTGAGCCTGCAACCTGGGCATGTGCCGACCGGGAATCAAACCGGTAACCTCTAGGACTAGGTTCATGGGTCGACACTCAACCAGTGAGCCACACTGGCCAGGCTAATTTCTTAATTCCACATTAGCAATCAGAAAAGTTTAGTATATACATAACCTAGCTACCAAATAACTTATCTAACCACAAGTCCCTACTGATTACAAATTTTCCAGCTATAGCAAAACTGGGCTACTTTCAGAACCATCAATGAGCAAGTCCTTAGTCATTCGATTGTCTTTAAACATCTCCACTGAAGGAAACTCAATCTGAAGTTATCCCAGAAGAGTATCCACACGTGCCTCCCTGGACCATCTCTTCACACCTGTTCCCCACAGAGCCAATTCGTGTGGCTTCCCCTTCTGTCGGTGTTTGGACACTTCACTAACCGAAGCTCTCCCTGAATACAGGACTGTCTGGGAACTTCAGGCCACATGATTTTAGAATTGGAAAGGTCTTCTGACATCATCTAGGTCCGGCCTTCAGTTCATAGATGAAACTTTGGTTCAGTGAATAAGTGACTTGCCTAATGGGGTAGTCAGACAATGAGAGAGACAGAGATCCAATTCTCTATACTTTCCCAGCTAGTAAAAACCATACATTTCTGTGGATCTCTACAGTTACAGTTGCATTTGATTATTAATAAAAACAGAACTAAGGTCAAGTAAGACACTGGAGACCCAGTGCTTCCAACCACTTGTTGCTGGAAGTATATCCTATGCCAGTGGTCGGCAAACTCATTAGTCAACAGAGCCAAATATCAACAGTACAACGACTGAAATTTCTTTTGAGAGCCACATTTTTTAAACTTAAACTATATAGGTAGGTACATTGTTATTAACTTAATTAGGGTACTCCTAAGGCTTAGAAAGAGCCACACTCAAGGGGCCAAAGAGCCTCGCGAGCCACAGTTTGCCGACCATGGTCCTATACCACTGTCCTATACAACAATGAAGGAGTCAAATTCATCTTGTTGAGAGTAATGTACTATTAATTAGACTCTAGATAATGTTAATGATTCAGTTTATTTTATGTTTATACTCCATTATCTCCAGAAAAGACTTGGGAGAGCTTTTATAATTAAGCCCAAAATAAGACAGAATCATAATGACTCAATTAAGTAACCAAGTGGTAATTTTCCAAAAATGAGTAAGTTAAGTTTTTAAATCACTAACATTAGGAATATAAGGAGGGGGAAGAAGTACAGTGGAGAAAAAATTCAGTACTATTTGTCACTTTAAGAGATGGCATTAGTAGCTCAGCCAGCGTGGCTTAGTGGTTGAACACTGACCTCTGGATCAGGACGTTGTAGTTTGATTCCCGGTCAGGGCACATGCCTGGGTTGCAGGATCAATCCCCAGTAGGGGGCGTGCAGGAGGCAGCCGATCAATGATTCTCTCTCATCATTGTTGTTTCTATCTCTCTCTCCCTCTCCCTTCCTCTCTGAAATCAATTAAAATATACTTTTTAAAAAAAGAGATGGCATTAGTATATTCAAGATTCCTGAAGTCTATTTAGAAGTGATATTTAAAGGTCAGCAGGAAACGGAAATAATTAGTGATGCTCTGCACTGAGTACATGCTGCAGAAAAACAATTCCTTTGCAGATGATATAATCTAGCAAATTCGCAACTAAATGCCAGCTTAATGTATCAAAGGGAAGAGCAAGAAGACAGGAGAACTTCAGGAAAATAAAGTACATTGAAACACCTTCTTAAGAGATGTGCTGAGAACAAAGCTCACATCGTAAATGTTTTGTAGAGAGGTCAGAAGCCCTTTGGGGTCTGAATGTGCAGTGTCTAACATGCTGAGAATTTCTCACAATTGAGAAACAGTAACTAATGTTCTCCCAGGCCCTCTTCTGGGAAGGAGAGTAGTTTCTAGAGGAATGATACAACAGTTATTCAATGTCTCAATGCTTCTCCCAAGCGATGCCATGCAATGCCATGCCTTGAAAAGAAAATTACCTGAGCACCACTACAATTGGACTTTCACTTCCAGTTACGACCATTAGCCCCTTCCAGATCATTAGTGCTGAGGAGACAATCATTCCAAAATTTAGGACTTGATAATACAGCTGTAAGAACAAAGGAGAAGAGATTAGACCTATGATTGTCCCCACCCAGGCAAGAACTGAGAGTAGAATCAATTTAAAGGTTTCAAGTAGCACCATTACAGCAGCTGAAGTTCCCAAACAGTCTTTAAAACGCTGTAATAATTACACAATCAGCCTTCTCTCTCTCACCCCAGGTACCCTGCTCCATTTTGTTTACTAAAATACGTTACATTTATATAGCTTATTATTTTCAGAACCTTTCACTTGTTATTTCATTTGTACGTTCACAACCATTCAGCTTAAATCCAATCACGTTCATGATACATACCAGCCAACAGTGACAAACCTGTGCTTTTGAACTCCTCTAGTACTCACTTGTCTACAATATTTATCCCTTGATAATCATGGCTGTTCAATGACATTTAATCTCACCCCTCATCTTACAGTTGAGGAAATTTAGTCTGAGAGAGAGAGGAAGTGACTTCGCCAAAGTCATACATTTTGTCAGTCACATAGTTAGGACTTGAAGGCCAGCCTTCTTTCTTTCTTAACACATTTGCACTACTTGACAAATTGTAAAATTCTATGACTTGAATAAGCAGACGCAATACTAGAGAGGCATTGTAAATGAGGGCAATAATCTGCGCTAATTGTGTTGGTGTAAGGCTGCATAATGGGTAAAAGCAGAGAGGATGACTGGACACCATGGTAGATGGTTCAAGAAATGAAAAGATGGTGTTGCCCTAACCGGTTTGGCTCAGTGGATAGAGCGTCAGCTTGAGAACTCAAGGGTCCCAGGTTCGATTCCAGTCAAGGGCATGTACCGGTTGCGGGCACATCCCCAGTAGGAGGTGTGCAGGAAGCAGCTGATCGATGTTTCTCTCTCATCGATGTTTCTAACTCTCTATTCCTCTCCCTTCCTCTCTGTAAAAATCAAGAAAATATTTTTAAAAAAGAAAGAGAAGATGGTGTTGAAGAGTCCTGGGAGAATCTGAAAAAGCATATTATTAAGCTCAGATTACACACAACCTTGAATGTACCACTGAAAATGTGAACCTGAAAAGACATTCATAAGATGCTTTAAAGTGAAAAAAAAAACAACACAAAAATTTCTTTGTCAGTCACATAGTTAGGACTTGAAGGCCAGCCTTCTTTCTTTCTTAACACATCTGCACTACTTGACAAATTGTAAAAACCTATGACTTGAATAAGCAAACGCAGTACTAGAGAGGCATTGTAAATGAGGGCAATAATCTGCGCTAATTGTGTTGGTGTAAGGCTGCATAATGGGTAAAAGCAGAGAGGATGACTGGACACCATGGTAGATGGTTCAAGAAATGAAAAGATGGTGTTGCCCTAACCGGTTTGGCTCAGTGGATAGAGCGTCGGCTTGAGAACTCAAGGGTCCCAGGTTTGATTCCAGTCAAGGGCATGTACCGGTTGCAGGCACATCCCCAGTAGGAGGTGTGCAGGAAGCAGCTGATCGATGTTTCTCTCTCATCAATGTTTCTAACTCTCTATTCCTCTCCCTTCCTCTCTGTAAAAATCAAGAAAATATTTTTAAAAAAGAAAGAGAAGATGGTGTTGAAGAGTCCTGGGAGAATCTGAAAAAGCATATTATTAAGCTCAGATTACACACAACCTTGAATGTACCACTGAAAATGTGAACCTGAAAAGACATTCATAAGATGCTTTAAAGTGAAAAAAAAAACAACACAAAAATTTCAAAAATATGCACAATGTAAGTTTGCTTTTGTTATTTTAAAAATAACAGTGACATGTGAACAATCCATAAGACAACTGTTCTAGTCCGAAAATTCATTAACTAAACATGGGAGACTGTTCTAGATTTAAAATAACTAAAGAGATATAACTGAGGACAGAAAATTCAGCAAAATAAAAGTGATGGTAACTTTAAATACTATCATTTAACAGGCCATGATCTGAAACTTATGTACTATTCATTTACCTATTATAGTTATCAAACATATCAATTATATTTCTATTCTTGTAAGAGATATCTGAAGTTCAACATATAGGATATTTTCATAGAAGTCAGACTTCCTGCAATTTTAAGCAAAGACAGAAGTGACCGTGGAAGCAAAACGTGTAGAGCTACAAAATAGCAGCTGACCTGCCCTGGGTGGTGTTGCTCAGTGGTTAGAGTGCCAGCCTGTGCACCCAAGGGCTATGGGTTCAATTCCGGTCAAGGGCACTCAAGGGCATGTACTACCTGAGTTGCAGGCCCGATCCCTGGCCCGGGTTGGGGTGCGTGCGGGAGGCAAATCAATTGAAGTGTCTCTGTCACATAGATATTATGTTTCTCTCCCCTCCCCGGCTCCCCTCCTCCCTTCCAGTCTAAAAACCATTGGAAAAAAATATCCTCACTCCTACGGTGAGGATAAAAAAAATAAAATAGCAGTTGGCCTGAAGTCTTATCTTAGGACCTCAAACTAACAGACTCATAACCCATAACCACAATTTCCCTGCTTTCTAACTCACAGAAGTGATCAGAAGCTAGGGGATTGGAGGCAGGCACACTGACAGCAGCAAAATGTAAAACCGATGGCACTGGAAAAACTGAAGCATGTTCAGATCAGACACTGTTACCATGGCCCAGTAAAGTCACTGCTTGTCCCAGCGAGAATCTTTAATGATAATGACAACAAAAATCCTGAATAGTCAAAACAGGCATAATATCAATAACAATAACACAAGTCTCATTTTTAAAAATCCACTAGGCTGTTTTAAAATCTGACAAATGAAAACATATCTATTCAATACACAGATGCAGTAACTTCATTCATAATAGCCTCAAATTGGTAAAAAACAAACAAACCACACAAATGTCCATCAACAGATGAATACACTGCAACATGTCCACACACTAGGATACTGTTCAGGAAGAGAAAGAATGAACTACTGATACATACAACACAGATGAATCTCAAAAATATGATGTTTAGGCCAAGTTGGAGTAATGGGGACCAAAGTTACCTCCCTGCCTGAAATAACTAAGTAACGCTGGACAAAACATATGAAACAAAGGGTTTCAGACATTGAACACGTGACTGCATCCATGTAGCACAGGACTGTGATTGCTTAGAAAGGAGAAACTTGCCCCAACGGACAGACTGGAGTTTCTAGAACAAGGGCGAAGGGGAATGCAGACAGAGCCTGGAAGGCTCCTTGACTTGAGGAGAAAGAACCGGGAGTTTGAGGAGGCAAAGGTAGCTAGAGACCCGGGGCAGGATGGAAATGAGAGCGACACAAAGGTCTGCAGAGGGTCTCTGCTCAAGTCCTCAGCAGAAAGACGACCAGCAATGATCAGCATATTCCTCTGAAGGAATTACCAAGGATGCAAAAGAACCATCTAAATGGGGCAGGGATAGCTTGAGCTCTTAAAATAACAGCAGACTGCCTGAAAGTAATCAGAAAAAAACTATCAACCTAAAATTCTATACCTGGAAACATTTCTTCCAAAAATGAAGGCAATACCCTGGCCAGTTTTGCTCAGTGGATAGAGCATTGGCCTGTGGACTGAAGGGTTCCAGGTTCAATTCTGGTCAAGGGCACGTACCTTTGTGGCAGGCTTGATCAATTCCCAGCCCTGCTCAGGTGCATGTGGAAGGCAACCAACCGATGTCTCTCTCTCTCAGATCGATGTTTCTCTCTCTCCCCCAACCCTTCCACTCTCTCTGAAGATCAATGGAAAAATATCCTCAGGTGAGGATTAACAAACAAAAAGAAAGGCAAGGGGGGGACGAGTGTGGGATAGAAGAGGTCAAAGGGGGGGAAATCAATGGAAAAATATCCGCAGGTGAGGATTAACAAACAAAAAGAAAGGCAAGGGGGGGGGACAAGTGTGGGATAGATGGGGTCAATGCGGGGGGGAAGGCATCTGTAATATTTTCAACAATAAAGATTAAAAAAAAAACAACACGAAGGCAAGCCCTCGCCTGTATGGCTCAGTTAGTTGGGCGTTGTCCTATGCATCGAAAGGTTGTGGGTTCGATTCCCGGTCAGGGCACAAACCCAGGTTTCAGGCTTGATCCCAGGTACAAGGCATGAAGGAGGCAGCGGATCGACGGTTCCCTCTCACATCAATGTGTTTCTCTCTCTCTCTCTCTCTCTCTCTCTCCTTCCCTCCCTCCCTCTCTCCCCCCCTTCCTCTCTCTCGAAAAATCAATAAAAAAAATACCTTTTTCAAGAATGGAGACATCTCTCACATCAATGTTTCTCTCTTTCTCTCTCTCCCCCCCCTTCATCTATCTCTAAAAATCAATAAAAAACCTTGTTAAAGAATGGAGACATGCCTAGCCAGCGTGGCTCAGTGGTTGAGCATTGACCTATGAACCAGGAGGTCACGGATCGATTCCAGGTCAGGGCACATGACCGAGTTGTGGGGTCGATCTCCAGTGGGGGGTGTGCAGGAGGCAGCTAATCAATGGTTCTGTCTCATCATTGATGTTACTCTCTCTCCCTCTCTGAAATCAATAAAAGTATATTTAAAAAAAAAGAATGGAGACAAAATTAAACCTTTTCAAAGGCACAAAAACTCAAAGATAATTCATCATGAGCAGACCTACATTATGAAAAAAAAGTTTTTAAAAGTCCTCCAAGCAAAAAGAACATACCAAATGAAATCTGGATTTACACACAGGAAGCACACTAGATATAGTATATGTTGGTAAACATATAATTTTTTCTTATTTAAAATTTGTGGGGGTAAAAAGAAAAGTGTGTGGAAGATACCTAAAGTAGTACACAGAGGGAATTTTATAGCAATAAAGGCCTCAAATTATATGTTGTGCTTTTGTTTACAGTCAGTTCAAATATTTTGTAATTTCCCTTGTGATTCTCCTTTGACCTATGGGTTATTTAGAAATACACTGTTTAATTTACAAATATTTGTAGCTTTCCCAAGGTAAACTTCTACCTTAAAACACTAGGAAAAGCAAATGAAACCCAAAGTAACTCACAGAAAGGAAATACTATAAAAGAAAGAGGAGAGCCCTACC